CCAGGAAGGGCATCTGAGAACAGGAGCTTTCCTCCCCGGTCCCAAGACAGTGGTTTGGCTGACCGGCCCGCAGACCCTCGGAAGGCAGCTGCCCCTGACGGCGGGGCTCTCTGGTTCCTGCTTCCCTTAAAGGGGCCGCAGTGAATGGTACGGTGCCCGGCTGGGTTGGAGGATTCAAACAAAATTGCGCGTCGTTATTAGCTCTTCTTTGCTATTGCTGTTGAATGAGTTTTCCCTTTGACGGGCATCAGGCTCTTAGAGGAGTACTCCACGCGCCTCCTGATTCTAATCTCTGGACACCGCGCTGGGCTGTCATCCGTGGGAGGCTCTCCCACGCTGCCGTTGAGGGTTTCCAGGGAAGGAGGGTGAAGGAAAGGCCCCAAGACAGACCCAGGCTCAGGTCCCAAAGTCGTGACCACCCTGTCCTTTTGTAGCCTACAGCGGCTTTGAACTCCCCCAGAACTAGCCCAGAGCCAGATGGACTCAAGGCTTGTCATGAGCCAGTATCTGGTGTGACCAGAGAATGCCCCTGCCACTTGACAGGACCCTGGATCCTCACTGCCCCAGACTAGCGTGAGGCCCCGACCAAACGGCACCTCTTCCAGGAAGCCTTCCCTGATTGCTCAGTCAGTGAAAGGGAATCCTTTGTCCCTTGGTTTTCACTCTCTTGTTATCTTGCCAACGTTATCTGCTTTTATCTTATTCCCCAGATAGATTCAAAGCTTCTCAAGGGTAAAAACTGTCTTCTTTAGACTTTATCTCTCCCCCAGATTGGAGCCTGGGGCTTTGCATACAGCTGGTGCTTCCTAAGTGCTGGTGGTTATGGTTTCTGAGCCATTGGGAAGGAGCCCCCCTCCCCCTCCAGAGGAATCTTTCTCCCTCTATCTCTGTTTCTCTCTCTCCAATCTCCCCATCTCTCTCCTCTCTTCTTCTGACTTGTAGATGTAGGTCTAAGGCTTCCCATGCAGAGAAAATCCCGATCAGCTAAAAGGAAAGATGAGCTTTCTCCAGACAAAGCAGTATTGTAGAGGCACAGAGGGGTATAGTAGAACATGCTGCCATTGGCACCACAGGACCTGGGTTCAAATTCTGCCACAGATACCTGTGTCATCTTGAGCAAATCACCTCAGCTTCCTGGGCCTCAGTTTCCTCCTCTGTACAGTAAGAGTGTAGAAGCCTCTGGGGTCCCTTTTAGCTCCAGATTGACAAGCCCATGACCAGAGAGTGGCCCCCCCTTGAAGCCCTCTGGAAAGACAAGAGACCCAAAGGCAGCCCAATTGTTTCCTTTGCCCTTTTCCAGCTTCCCTGTGTGTTGTTAATAGAAACTGCAGCCGGGCTTAGGTCAAAGAATAGGAGCCAGGGCAGGCTCCTTCCTGGGCAGCTGTCTGGCTGCAGATGCTGAAACCAGATATGGTCAACTGCCAGGAAGGCCTACCTCCCGTGGGGGTGGGGGCAGGGGAGCACATTAGCTGTGCACAGCTTTGCTTGTCTTTAGCACCTCATCTAAGACTGACCTCCTTGCTGTCCATGGGACACTCTGCTCCACCTTCTGGCTGAGGGCATTTTCACTGGTGGTCCCCCATGCCTGACTGCTCTCTCTCTAACTTCTCCCTCTAGACTCCTGGGCTTCCATTCCTCCTTCTCCATCTCCCCATCCCACCCACCCCACCAAGTGCTTCCTTCCCTCTGAGGTCACCACCAGCTTATTCTCTATCTTGTATGTTGTCTCCATCGAGGAGCTCCTTGAAGGCAGGGACAGTTCTTGTCTTTCTGCATTTCCCTGCACTTGGCACAGTTGCCTGGCCCTTGCTAAACATTTAGTAGATACTTGTTGACTCTCTGAATAAGGGTAAATAAGAGTCTAAGCTGGGTGAGCAATCTCCCTCTTCATGTTTCAGGCCTAATTCCTACATGTGAGTGGTTATCAGCACCTGGGAAGTTCTGAGAAAGGAAGAGGGCTTTCAGCAAGAGAACCTGGCTAAGCCAAGCTTGCCTTCTTCACTTCAAAATAACAAGAAATATGGGCAGCTAGGTGACACAGTGGGTAGAGCTCCAGCCTTGGAATCAGGAGGACCTGAGTTCAAATCTGACCTCAGACACTTGACAGTTACTAGCTGTGTGACCCTGGGTAAGTCATTTAACCTCAATTGCCTCACCAAAAGGAAAAAAAAACCAAGAAATTCAATCAAGTAAGTTAAAGAATAAAACAACCCAAAAGGGGGGGAGGAAGAAATTCATCACTTAAAAAAAAACAGAGAAAAAATTACTTTAAAAAAAAAGGAGCTGTAAATACAATGAAAATTATGAATTAGAAAGTGAGGTGAGATCCCACCATCACCGTAATGCTTAGTAAGTGCTTGTTCATCCATTCAGAATCACTCAGTAGAGAAATGCCCAGTAGAACAACCCTGAGATTCTCTGTCACATTAATCATATTGGCAAAGTTGACCAAAAAGGATAACGATAAAACTTGGAGTGCTGAAAAATAGGTACACTCGTGCACTGTTGATGGAACCATTAAATTGGCCCAGCCATTCTGGAAAGCAATTTCCAGAATTTCCAATGCCCCAAAAGTAATCGAATTGTATGTAGCCTTTGTCCCAGTGTTACATCTGGTAGATCTATAACCCAAAGAGATTGAAGAGGAAAGGGACCCACATGTACAAAAATATTTATAGTAGCTCTTTTTGTGCTAGCAAAGAAGTGGAAACTAAGGGAGTGCCTACCTCTTCGGAATGGCTGAACAGGTTATGGTGGTGCAGTGGACAGAGTGCTGGGCCTGGAGTCAAGAAGACTCATCTTCATGAGTTCAAATATGGCTGATGCAGAGTGAAGTAAATAGAACTCATGACAACATTGTAAAGACAGCTCTAAAAAATCGAAGCACTCTGATTAATTCAATAACCAACCATGATTTCAGAGGTGATAGGCTCAGAGAACAGAACGAGAAGAGCCCGTATTTTGGGCGCAGCCGATCTGGGAATGGGTTTTGCTGGATTTGGCATGCTTTACAAGGCTTTTGTCTTCCTTTTTCCCCAGAGGTGGGAGGGAAAGAATATGGATATTTGTTCGCTCAAAAAATTAAATAAGAAAGACAAAATAAGGGTGGAAATTAGAGCTCTCAAAGAGGAATTTTAAAACAGCAGAATCAGCTGTTTAGAATAAACGGTGGAAACCCTCACTGAGCAGTGGATACCTTGCAAAAGAGCTTGACCAGCTCAGAACTCAAAAATGAAGAGACAGAACAAGGACCATCAGAACAAAATCAAAGGACAGCTCTGGAGAGAGGGAGCACTTTGAGGAAAGCGCTGGGAGCCGGAGGCTGAGCGGAACCCTGCCTCTGCGGCCTGAGTGACTCTGGTCAAGTCCCCCCATTTCCTTCCACCTCAGGGCAGGGCTGGACAACCTATTCTATAGGACTCCCTCCAGCTCCAACTGTGATTCGACGATCAGAATCTAAACTCAGCCTCCAGCCCGCAGAGAGAGGGACTTTGTGGTTCCAAAGAACAGGATTCCAGGGATTAAAGCAATGTCACCTGTATCTGCTCTGCCCCATCCCACCCACATTAGCAGCATGGAGTATGTGCGGAAGACGCCAGCTCCAGTCCTGCCTCAGGCCCATCCTGGCTGTGTGACCCTGGGACAGTCACTTCTATGAGACTGGGGGTACAGCCAAGCAGCTGTAGAATGGCATTGGTACAGGAGTGCCCACACCAAAGAAATCACAGATCCAGACAAAAAGAAATATTTAAAGCAATTTAGCAGGTTTAATTGGAACAATCCAACGCTGTCCCCTTGGCTCTGCCCCCAGGGCCCAGGGCCCCATGGGGGTCCAGGCCACGTAGGGCTGGCTGCCTGGTACTTCGGCCTGCAGTCCTCAGGCTGGACAGCCACCATGGGCTGATGCTTATGCTGATTCAAGGAGGGGGATGGCAGGCAATGCACAAGGGCCTCTTCCTTCACCAGGTCACCTAGTGCCTGCCTGGCTCCTGCTGTGCTGGGGACACTCCCCAGAGCTCTTTGGCAGCAGCCCAAGAGAGCTTTCAGAAGTGTTCAAGGCCTCCTAGATGGTTCCAAAACATCCCCAGATAGGATGAACATGCTTCCTTTGAATGGAGAAGTAAGGGGGCCTTTTGGGAGGGGCCTGCTACCCTTTTACTCCTCCTTCCGTGCACTGGGACTGGGTACCCTGCATCTTCTCATGTCCATCCTGTCAGTGGGGGACCTTTGCCCAGGCCTAGTGTGAGGAACAATTCCACCAGGCCAGCAGAGCAGTCAGGGCCCCTCCCTGAGCCTTGGGCTCCCCCTTTGCCAAGGAAGAGGAGAGTGTCAGGGGGCTTCCCTTTCGTTTCTGTCTGACATCCCCTCTGTACCCTGTGCCTGCCCAGACAAACAAGCTAGGGCTTCCATGCCAGAAGCCCAGATGGACTGGAAGATTAACAGTCAGGCATGCTGAAGCCTACCAGCCCTGCAAGCTGTAAGCCTGTCTAAGTGTAAGCCCTGCCCTGCCAGAGGTGCCAAATTCAGCTCTAGCTTGGTGCCTAGAACCTGAAGAAGAGCCCGTTCTGCCCCTCTGAGCCACACCCCCAGGCTGGGGCTAGGGTCTGCCTAGGGCCTTAACAATTCAGATCTAATGTCCTGGTTGTGTTTGGCACTGTTTGGTGCAACTGGGTTGGCTCTATCACAATTTCCTTACATCTCTCCAGAGGAAAGAAGCCTTGGAGGTATCATCGAGTACCTCCAGGTTTCCTGTTCCTATTCTTTCAAGACATCCACAGATCGCCAAGGGATTGTTTCTTCTATCGTGGGGGCGAGGGGAAGCATCCGGAGAAACCTTGAGGTTTCCCCTGAACAAACCCACTTCCTTGGCGCTAAGAAATTCTCAACATCTTATCTAGTTAACAGGTTTTACTCTCTTGGAATCTACTCACAGGGAAATTGAACTGGAGTTTTTAGGAGCCCCCCAACCCCCCTCCCTCCCCCACTCCCTGACCCTCGAAACTTGTTAAACTCAGCTTAGACCTACTGACATTTTAATGCCTTAGGATGTGACTAGCAGATCAAATGGAATTCGTCCTCGGCTCCCTACTAAATTATCTTAGGGAAGTCAGGCCCTTTGCGGAGCCAAAATCCAAGGCCGGGGACCATACAGCTCACAAAGCCTGGCCCTAGCCACTCCGGAGTCCCGGCAGCTGAGCCAGGGGCTCTAGCCTGCGGGCCTCTGTGGCCTTAGAAAGGTCAATCGCCTGGCTGGCTGAAAGTCCTCTCTGCTGCTTCTCAGCTCACACCAGGGGAGTAGGAGACCTGACGTTTCAAATCCATTTAAAGGAATGGGTCTTTAGTCATTAAGGGTTTGGTGCCTTCCTTCTTTCCTTCCCAATTTTAAATTGGTTTTCAGACTCTCGTGCCTTTATATCTCTCCAAGCTGGACCGACTAAAGCTCAGATCTCTAGGTAGGGGCCGGGCGAACGGGGGGGGGGGACTGGAAGAGTGAGTGAGCTGGGGACGGAGGAAAAAGCAGAGTCCACGTCAAGGACAAAGATCTGTCCTGTAGGCTCGGCTTGGAGACCAGACACAGAGGAACTCTGACTGACTCTGGAAGGCCTGCTCCTCGACTCCAGAGGTCTGCTTCCCTTTCTCCTCATTCTAGGAGCTGCATGGACACTGACCCCGAGTCCCTCGGGACCGCGGGATCTCAGGGAAGCCACAGCCCGGGATGCAGATGGAGGAAGCTGGACGCGGAGAGGGGCTGGGAGAGTCCCCGCAGCTAGCCCTGCCGAGCCTCCCAGCCCGGCCTTCTCCTCTGCATCGCATCTCAGCGACGTTGCAGACTTGGTCACCCCTTCCCCCATCTGTCTGTCAGTCGGTCGGGGCCAGCAGCGCGCAGGATCGCGGGGCTGATGCCCGGGTAGGGCCGCCCCGCCGTCGTCCTGCCTCCATCCCAGGGCCAGCAGAAGTGCGTGCTGAAAAGTCTCGGGTAAGCCCCGTAGCCCTCTTTCCTCCGTGCCGCTCCCCCGCTATCCCTACTCCTTCCAAACTGGACCTCATATCTTTTCCCCGTCTCGACCCCCCTAGTCAAACAGCTACTCCATCTCCAAGGTCTACCTGACTGGCGGCTCCCGGCCCTCCGAATCACATAGAGGTTAAAACCCCATATCCGGCCTGTTCCCTCAGCAAGGGAAAGGGAAAGAAAAGACAAGGCCCTATTTAAACCGTCCTGGGTTCCCCAAGTTCTGGAGAAAGCAGGAAATAGCCTGTACTCCGTGGGCCTCCAAAAGGGACTCTGGTTTGGGAAAAGTGCCACCAAAATAGGAAAGGGAGTCCTGGGGATTTATTTACTTCCAGACGTAAAAAACCGGCGTGGGATTTGGGGCCTTCCTAGCTGTATGGCTTTGGGCAAGACCCTCCCACTCTCCAGACTTTCAGCCTGCTCATCTGTAAAATCTGTGGTGGGACAGATCAGTGGTCAGTCAGCCCCGAGGAAGGAGAAGCTCTGCGCCCCGTCTAGAGCCTCGGAATCTAGGGCCTTGACACCTCCGCACACTTCTGCCCACATTCAATTATTTTGGGCATTTTCGGTACGCCACCCTACAGAGCTGCATTTCTGAGGCCCACGGCGGCCCGAGGGCACCAGGGTCAGCCAGCATCTCCCCCACACTCCTACAGATAGGACTATTTTTGAGGAGTCACACTCTTCCTTCCCTCCTCCCGGCAGCCCCTCCTCTTCAAAAAAGCAGGTGAGATTCAGTAGCATGCAGACGCTGTCCTGTGGTGGGGGTCTGAGAGTGGGCAGGCTGGCAGGGAGTGAGCTAGGGTTTGTGTGTGTGTGTGTGTGTGTGTGTGTGTGTGTGTGTGTGTGTGTGTGTGTGCGTGTGTGTGTGTGTGCGCCACAGGCGCTGGAGGCTTCGGGCTGCTGAGCTCCAAGGAGACAAACCCAGCGGGACCAGCTAGCCCCGCTCACCTCTTTTGCCCTGTCCCGAGGTCCAGGGCCCCAGACCGCCGCCGGCCTGCCCGCCTGCCTTGCCCGCAGGACCCAGAGGGAGCCGGCCGGGCTCCAGGCTCCGGGCTCCGGGCTCCGGGGCTCCCGCACTCCCCGCTACCTGCAGCCGCAAGTCTCCACCACCATGTCCTCGTACTGTTTGTAGACGACGTTGTTACCCGCGTCGATGTACAGGATGCTGATGGGGCTGAGTTTGGCGGGCACACAACAACTGGGCGGCGTGGCCTCGGGTGCCATGGAGTTCATGAGAGTCTGGATGATGGCGTGGTTGGTGGGCTCCAGGTGGGAGCGCAGCGGAAAGTCACACACTCCCTCGCAGTGGTAAGCCTCGTAGTCAAGGGGCGCGATGATCCAGTCGTCCCAACCCAGCTCCTTGAAATCCACGTGCAGAGGTTTGCGGCTGCAGCGGCTCCGGCCCTTGCGCCCTGGGGCCCTCCCCGGGCCCGGGCTCCCGCTGCTCCCGCCAGGGCTCCCAACACCTCCCGCCACCCGGGCCCCTACCCCAGTCCCAGCCCCCGGAGTCCGCCTCTTCCTGCGCCCCGCGGAGGGCGCGGCCCCCGGCTGCCCCCGGGCCCTGCCCTTGGCTCGAAGCTCCTGGAAAAGGTTCTCTTTCCTGTGGGCGCGGGAGAAAACCACAAGTAGGGCCCGCTCGTTGAGCGGCGGCCGCGGGCTCCCGGGAAGCCCCAAGCCCAGCAGCCTGGGAGCCAATGGGCTCTTCGAGGGGCCGCCCACCCCGCGCAGCACGAGGCAAAGGGGTCGCTCAAGCCGGTGCTGCCTCACAACGTCCGTCACGTCAAAAACTTCCCAACGCGCTGAGTCCAGAGGGCTGGCAGGCCTAGAGGCCAGCAGTCGAGGCCCACGGGCCGCTCCCGGGCAAGTGGAAAGCAGGAGCAGGGCTAAGGGTTGCGCTCCCAGGGTCCCCCCGAACTTCCCCAGGGCCGCCGCATCCTGTTTGGCCAGCTGATCTTGGGCTGCCCGCGCTCTGCGAAGGACCCGAAGTTCCGCGGCCACTACTTCGTCAGCGTCTGCCAAGCTGGACATGTCGAAGAGGAAACGCTGGCCTGTCTCGCTGGAGGCATAGTCTGCAAGGGAGAAGAGAGAGAGAGAGAGAGAGAGAGAGAGAGAGAGAGAGAGAGAGAGAGAGAGAGAGAGAGAGAGAGAGAGAGAGAGAGAGAGAGTGAGAGTTAGTTGGAGGCTGATAAGGGCACGCGGCTCTCCCCCATCAAATTCTCCTCAGAGTGGAAAAGCCCCACTCCCTAATTTGCCAGCTAGGGAAACTGAGGAAACTGAGATCCCTCCGGACCTCAATTTCCATTGCCGGTATCTTCGCTGCATCAGAAAAAAAAAAAAGTGAAATTGTAGACCGCTTCTTCCCGGCTCCAGTCAGACATAACCAAATTGGTGAAAGCCTCAGGGGCAATTGCCCAGGCAATTTCGGGCAGCCAGAGCAATCTCGCTAACCAACCCCAATACCTGTTAGCCATCTCCCACAACCTGCCTGGGCCACCTCTACTCGTTAGATAGACCGCGGTGCTTGGGTAAAAAGGAGGCACAGCTGGGACACAGGTTAGGCCGCAAGACCCAGGAGAACAGTCCGGGGTTTCAGGCTTGTCTCCGGCAGCTCCACTCTCACTTCCTAAAAGGCGGCTCAGCCGCTGGCTGTACCTTTCACTCCATTCTCAGGACCTGGCGATGCGCCTGGGGAGACCAGGATCCCCAAGGAACGCCATGGCAAGAGCCCTCCCTACTCCGGGCAGCAAAATGCCCGACTTCGGGGGCTTCCTACGCCGGGCCTGCAGGGCACGGGGCTCAAGCACTGCCCAGCCAGATATGAAGCCGACTAGTGGAAGGGAAGGGAGAGAGAGCTGATGCGGAGCCCTTCCCTAACCTCTGGCTCCAGTCAGAGCCCTGTGACCATCCCATGCCGTCAGTTCACCCGTGGGGAGCCTGAGATCCGCTTCCACAGTCCCTCAGTCATTGTTTCTCTCCAGTGGGAAAGGGAGACTGAAGCTATTCGGAGTTATGTAGGTTTTTTTTTTCTTCTTGAGTCTCAGGGAAGAAAAAAATTAAATGGGGGGAGCTGGGGGGAATTCCTCCAAGCAGCGGCTAAGGCGAACACTTTGAAGAGGTCATATGGTTTCATTTTGCCCGGAAAGGCAGAGAGACCGTGCGGAAAGTTTGCCTGAAATTGTGGCATTCAGGTCTCGGTACCCCAGCCCGGGCGCCCAAGCTCGAGTGTCCTAGGACTCGAGATAAGGCTCCTTCCGAGGTGCCGATGGGGAGGAAGGCAGAGGGGAGGCCGAGAGGACAAAGGGGAGCAAAGAAGGAGTGAGAAGATGAGAGAGAGACGAGAGATTGCCCAGGAGAGAAGAGCTGTGTTCTGGCAGAAGACAAAGCAGAACAGGCATGACCTTGAGAATCCAGAAACCTGGGCTCAGTCCTGGCTCTATCCCTACTCACTGGGTGATCCTGGACAAACTCCTTGCCCTCTCTGGGCCTGACTCCTTCCACTGTAAAACCAAGGGGTTAGGGGGTTGGACAAGATGCTTTGGAAAGGCCCTCTAAGCTGTGATTCTCGAAACACGGGCCCAGGAAAGAAGGAAAGGCCCGAGGACCAAGGAGAAAAGACATCGAGACAGAAAGCGGTGTCCAGGAAGGAGGCCGAACGCCAGTTTCTCCACATGTGCTTTTGTCCGCGGATACCTTTGCCCTAAAACCAGAGGCTTTTTCTTGGCGTCCTGGGCAGTGCAGCCGCTGGGGGATAAATACGCCTCCCTCCCCAGGAGAGCTGGAGGACGCTCCTCCTGGTAGGTCTTCCCTGCCCCCCGACTACAGATGGCCAGGCGCCCAGTTTAACTTAGCAGCCTGCTCTAAGGAGGGCAGGGCCTCTCTGGCCGGCTATGTCAAGGGAGGGAGGTCGAATTCCGAGAACCAGCCTCGCAGAGAGCAGTACCCCGCTGAGTAGGGCTGGGAAGGGATTCCCAGGGCTGGTCAAAGAAGCCTCACGAGTACGGGCTTTCGCTGGAAGCGAAAACCTCGGGCTGGGCCCTTCTTCTGGTTGTCAGTGGAACCATCCCGATCCCCACTTTGTGGCTCTGGAGCATGTCCCTGGTAGGCTTGTCCTCCCCGGCTGGGCCAAGTCGGTCCCAGGCCGCTCTCCTGCAGGGTTTGGGGCTGGAGGGAATTAAGACTGAAATTTACCGGAGTTTCCGCCTGAAATTAGTTACATTTCTCCTATCTGTCTGCCTTAATGACTTCAATAGAGATTAATAAAGTCCAGATGAGACGCGTCTCTCTCCCCCCCCTCCTCCCCAGGGCCCGACGCAGCCCCCGTGCGGCCAGCCTCGCCCAAAATGGACTACGGCTCTGGGACCCGGGAGGGGAACGCAGGGATGAAACGGAGAAGGAGATTCGAAAGAGAGCAATTAAGCCAGGTTGTACAGAACAGTCGCTGGGCCTGGGCGGTGAGAGACCTGAGCTAGAAGCTCTTAGTCCAGCACTTCGGCGGGGAAGGCGGCCCGCTGGAGTCGAGCGGTGACCCGTGGCCTGACCCTAACCCCACGCGCCCCTCTTGGCGTCCTGGCCACGAAAGCCTTGGGCCACGGACTCGGGGCCTATCCACTCGGGGGTCCCTTCCTTGCCAGGGACCCCGCACAACGCTGTGCAGCCCGAGCTGCCCTCCCACCGCCGGCTCTCGGACCCAAGGTCCAGAAGTTCCCTGCGAAGTCTCCCTGATACAAAAGCCTTCACACCTGCCCCCACCCCCCCCTAAAAAAAATAAAGACTCCCGGGGAAAGGTGACACTGTCCACAGACAAGCTAGAGTGCACTGGGCATATCCCGTCTCCCGCCTCCGGGCACCAGACAGGTGGGCATAACACAACAAGATGGGATAGAAGTACTCCGGGAGAAGCCGCTCCCAAGTCCGGCTGCCCTATACGAGGCTGGGGCCGGGGTGGATATCCTCTCTGTCCCCGATCTCCCCGCTCCAAAACATACACACACACACACACACACACACCCCTAAATGGAATGGCGGCCTGAGGTCCCTCACTGCCCATCCACTCCGAGTGGCTCAGACCCTCCTCGCTTCGAAAAACATCTCCTCCTTTACCTGGGCCCAGGGAAACCAGTCTCAGGGCCCACTCGCACACAGAAACATTCATCTGAGCAGCACAAGGCCAGAGCCGAGAAAGACCTCGGGGCTCCTGGGCGCCTCTGACTGCAAAGTTTACGGTGACCTGGACCCAGAGAAGCGGCGCAGACACACACGCGCTCACGCACACCTAGAGACACTCCCAGAGCCCCCTCTCAGACTAGCAGGAGGGAGCTGACCCTGGGACTAGGCAGCACAGGGAGAGGGGGCGGCCGCCGCCCTTGAGAAGGTACCTGGGGGCGCCTGGTCAGTGAAACCGGTGACAGTGTCAGCGACAGCCCGTCGGTTGCCGCCCGCGGAGGTGGTGGCGGAGGTAGGGACCGGAGCCCATCCAGGAGCGAGTGCCCCCGTGGACAGGCTCCGGTAAAGGGAAAGCATGAACTGGTGCGGGACCACGGACGGAGAGGAGCCGTTCCCGCCCGTGGATCCCGCGCTGAGCCTCGGCACTCTGGCCACCGCCTTCATTGTCGACGGCGAAAGGGGACTGGCAGCCACGCCGGCCGCCTCGCTTGGGCCCCGTCTAGCGCCGCCGCCCGGGTCCCCACCTTGGCTGTCCCCCTGGGCCCTCAGCACGGCGGCCGCCTCCAGCCCGTCCCGGGGGCGGCAGGCGCTCAGGAGCCACAGGCAGAGCGCCGCAGCAGCGCTCAGGTCCATCGGCGGCTTGTCCTCCGCTGGCTGTGCGCTGCTCCGACGCCGCTGCGCTCGGCTGCCCTCGGCGCTCCGCTCCCCTCTCCTCCTCCTCCTCGGAGTGAGCTGCGCTCTGGCGGCCTCAGCGCTCCCCTCTCCGCCCCTCTCCTCCTCAAGCCCCTCTCTTCCTCGGCTGCGCTGCGCTTGGCCCGGCCCCGACAGGCTGTAGGTGCGCGCGCGGCGGCGGAGGGGATTTGGTGGCTCCGGGAGCTCCCCTGTCGCCTTTTGAACATAGTGTTTAATAATCGGGGAAGTTTGCTGAACGACCGCTGCCCCCGCTCCCCCCCAACCCACATCCCGGCCTCTCTACCCGGAACAGCGCCCCCTGCCTGAAGCTCGAATGATGCAGCAGCCCCCACCCCACCAGAGCCCCAGCCCCGCAGCCCTCCTTTGACCAAACTCTGTTAGGGCTCCTTCACTCCTCGGTCACAGAAGCCTCAACCTCTGCTGCTTCTATCTGCCAGAGTCACGCTCTCAACCTCCTCATCTCCCCCGGCACCCTCTGCCTAGCGCCTGGCTAGTCCAGGGAAATGAGGGCCCACCCCCGCCCCCACACTCCCACCCCCACCCCTTGGACTGGTCCAGCTCGGCCCCTCCTCTCCCCACGCTAAGGATCCGGGAGCGCCCCGCCTGCCTCCGCGCCTCTCACCTTCTCCACCAGATCGGGAACCCAGAGCACTTTTACGCACGAGTCTGTGAGGCGCTAGCCGTGCTGGCCCAAGGGCTCGGGAGGAAATCCTGACGCGGACCGACGGATTCAGGCAAAGGGGAAACGAGTGAGGAGGTGGAGCTGGGGGTGAGAATCAGGGAGAGACAGACAGGGACAGAGCCAGAAACACAGAGGAGAGACCGGGGCGAGGAAGGGCCAGTGGAAAGAGAAAGGAAGCAAAGTCATCAGAAAGGCGAGAGGATGGAAACAACAGTCAGAGAAGCGAAATTCTGAAGGAGAAGGCGGGCGTCGTGGGGCTGAGAGGCTGGCCCTCCTGGATCTGTAGCGGGGGAGGAGGGGTACTGCCGCCCCCGGGCGATCGTATTTACGAGGAGGTGCCGTCGCCTCTCCCAGCTCAGACTCCGTTTTCTCACCTGGAAGCGTAGAGGAGGTGGACTAGATACTTTCTCTCCCCCCAGGAACCCTGCCGGCTGAGCCTCTTGACAGATGCGCAGCCAGATTGGGAGTCCGTAATCAACGAGGGGTCTCCTGCCCGGACCGCCATTCGCCCTCTGTCTGAGAAGGGCAGACCGGGGAGTGCCGTAGCGAAGAGATTCGACTACCCGGATTCTGCCGCGGGGCACGGCAAGAAGGCCGGTGGGGTTCCATGGCCCGAGGGCAGCAGGTGGGCCTCCAGGCAGTCCGATTCTCCTGGAGCTGATAAAGGAGCCTGCAGACCCCTGCTGTCCCTCCCCACAGGCAGGCTGCGAAGTCGAGATTCTGTACGCCCTGTGTACGTGTGAGTGCAAGAGTGTGTGGGTGCATGGGCGGGGGACGCTGCTTCAGCGGGCATGTCCTGCCTTCCGGTCAGCCTCGGTGCCTCGGGCCTGCCAGGCTAGATCTCCCCCTGCGCCTCAGGGAGCCGCTGCGGAGGGAAGGGACTGGGAGCCGTCGGGGCCCTCTTCCAGGTTGGGCGCCCTGCCCCAGCTCCCTGCGCAGTTCTGGGCCGGGAGCAGGCGGGGCAAAGACGAACTTCCCTCCCGGGTCCCGCGCTCACCCCTCCTTCCCGCAGGGTGGGGGCTGGTCTACAGAAAGGAGCCACGTCCACGCAAGCATCGAACGCAAGAGAAAAGCTAGAAGCGAGTGGGCGCTTCCTTCTCCTCAGCCTGAGCCCGGAGCAGAACCGCTCAGTTCAGCCCGCACGCTCCAGGGGTTCGGTCTTCTTCCTCCTCCTTGATCTCCACTGATCTCCTACGCTCCGAGTTCCCCTTCTGCATCGGGCAGAAGGGGGGAGACCTTAAGCGGAAAGTAATTGCCTGGGCGAATTGGTCCCAGGCCAGGTGCCGCAGGAACACCCCTCCCCATACACACACGTACACACACGCCCAAACACACTTGGTCTGGGGCCTCCCCGACCGGCCCAGACCCTCAGATTGCTACCTCAGGGGCGCTTGAATTCCTCGGGACTGTTCCCTCGGTGCCCCAGGTATGGCTGCCACCTTCAGGCCGGTGGCCCAATAGTCTCCGGGCTGCCAGAGGATGTGAGGGCGGGGTCTCCCGGCTTCGGTCCCAAGGGCCCAGGCTTCCTTTTGCTGGGGCTGCTAGTGCATGCATGCTAAGGTCGCAACCCCTCATCCCTCCCCGCTCTCTAGAACCCTGGTCTACCTGCCTGAAGTACGGCCCTCCAAGGCATTCGCCCTTCCTTGCAGGCTTAGATCTTCAATGGATGTGGAGTCTTAGTGCCTAGGTTCCAAATGAGATCTGCTAGGCAGTACCCAGGCGACCTTGCTTGGTGCCTCAGTTTCTCCATATATAAAAATGAGAGTAGGGAGTGACAGGCAAGGTTAGACTCGTGTGTTTCTAAGGACCCTGCCATGCTGTGACCCTATGGCAGCTGAGCTTTGTGGACAAACCCAAGGTTTTGTCCCCAGTGCTCACAACCCACAGCTCCAGTAACAACAGCTATAGTTTTCAAATAGCCGAGACAAAAGTGGAACACAGGTCTGAAAGCCTGGTTCGGTTTGCCCTGGAGTTGGTGGGGGAGGGGAGGCGGGATTAGGGTTAGGGCTCCAATTACAGTTAAGCCTAACACCCAGCGCCTCTAAGTACTTGTGTACACCTTCATCTGAGACAGAGCCAGTCTAGCCTTCTGCCTGGCCCAGGCACAGAGTCCAGCCCAGGCAGGGTCCTGAAGCCAAGTCGGCCCATCAAATAGGAATGCCTTTCCTGGCACCAGAAAAGGCCCCAGAGATTCCCCTGATCCCACCCATAGGGTAATCAGTCAGCCTGGGGGAGACAATGTGCAAACAATTATGTACTAACGACATAAAGGGAGATTGAGGCAGGATTTTAACTGGGACTTGAAGTAAGACAAGGAGGGAGAAGTTTCTAGGCATGGGGGATAGGCAATGTCCGGAGTGAGGAGCTGGAAGGTCTCTTTCCAAAAATACCTACGAGGCTTTTGTCACTGGATCAGAGTATGGGAGGTGACTGGAAAGGCAAGGAGGGGCCAAAATGTTAGGTGCTTTAAATAACAAACAGCCTGGAAGTGATAGGGAGATGCAGGAGTGGATTGAATTGGGGGAGGGGCCAGTGTTGACATAGTCAGACCTGCACTTGAGGGAGACAGTTTGACCCCTGAATGGAGAATGGCCTACAAATGGAAGAGAGCTGAGGCTGGTAGAACCCACCACCTCCCAACAGGTTATTATCCAGACACCAGTGTCAGAGGAGAGAAGGGTGCATATGTGGACACCTTGGGAGAAGGGAGGAGGACATTACCAAGCAAGCCTCAGGAAGAGGGGTCTGGAGGAGGGGCCTTAGGAAGGTCAGCTTAGCCCCCAAAGGGCAGGTGAGGGACACAAGGACAGCTGCCCCATCTCTAACCTGCCTTTTTGGGTGGCCTCTTTTTTTTAGTTATTCAGTGAACAGTTCCTGTTGCCGTGACAGTAGGAAGAAAGTCCCTGGCATTGAGCTGCCCACAGAGTCACTGGCTGAGCCAGGACCAGAACAGAGGCTCCTTGCCCCCCAGGAATGAGTCAAGGAGATGAGGGACTCACATAGAGGAAGCTGTAATCCCCTTGACCTGACAGTTCATCTTATCAAAATCAAATGATTCCCAGAATCAGGAAGAAAAGGTCCTACCAGTGTGAGGCTTGGCAGCTTCCTTGAATCTCTTCCTAATTGGAGAATGATGGGGCCCAACCATGCACCCCGGAAGCTCTGAAGTTCACAGAGAACATTTTCCCCAAGCACCTTTAGCAATGTGGCTCACCAATGCTCAGAGTGCCTCTGCCCTGGGCAAGGACCACAAGCCAGCCTGACACAGCTGGGGAGGAGTCTGGAAGGGGCAGGAAGACTCCCACTTCAGCCACCTGGGAGCTTTCTTTACATAGTCAGCACTGCTGTTTCTGCACTGGCAGCGTCCCGGGACTCAGCAACCTGGTCCAGCCCTAGTTGTGGTTCTGATCCAATATCTTGATCTTACAAAAGGAAAAACAGGTTCCCAGAGAGAAAAATGGCTTACTTTGGATGGGTTCCACAGGTGCTAGTGGGACAGAGGCATCAGGACTGTCTCTTAGGACAGAGGTAGGAGACCTTCTGAAGACAGAGAGATGCATCCCTCTTTGCACCTTTGCTTGAAGCTTCTTTGTGGTGACTGTTTAGTTTTTTTGTTTTTCTCTTGGATGAAGATAACTGCGGTTGATGCCAACATCATGCCTTCAGTCTAGAGCAGCAGTGCTCAAAGGGTGCTGGGAACTGTCTCAGGAGGGTCTGTGAGGCCAAATGTATCTTCATAATACTAGGAAGGATGTTCCATTTCTAGCAAGGTTGCTATAGCCAGGTGTGTGCTGGAGGCAGCTCACAGTGGCTGGAGAGAGACCATTGTTAAATTTTCAGTGTGAGCTTTAACACCTAGGAGATCAGGGAATGCTTCCCAATCAGGACTTCATTGACTGGCTACTTGTGTGGACGTAAGAAAGGACAGCTAGACTGTTGGTGGAGTTGTGACCTGATCCAACCACTCTGGAGAGCAATTTGGAGCTATGCCCAAAGGGCTACAAAATTATCCCTACCCTTTGATCAAGCAATGTCACAGTAAGTCTGCATCCCAAAGAGATCCCCCTCCAGAAACAAAAGGGAAAAGGACCCACGTGCGCAAAACTATTCCTAGCGGCTCTTCTAGAGTGGCTAAGAACTGGAAACTGAGGGGATGCCCGTCCGCTGGGGAACGGCTGAACAAGCTGTGGTCTGTGAATGTAAGGGAACATTATTGTGCTGTAAGAAATGATGAGCAGGGATATTTCAGAAACACCTGGAAAGACTTGCATGAACTGACGCAGAGTGAAGTGAACAGAAGCAGGAGAACGTTGTACGTTGT